ATTTATTCTATTTATGGTATCTTTAAATTTTACAATTATCTCATGAAAGCTTATGTAATTTTATTATTTTGTGTGTATAGATATGGGACGAGGTACTCGAGGTGAATCATTGTCTAAAGAAGCCAGTAATACACTGGATAAAGCACAAAAGCAACTTCGACATCTTATTCGTGGGCCTCGTAAGGCTGCTCCCACACAGCAGCAGATGCCCAGTTTGAGTTAGCCTCCCTCACAACAGCAACTGCCTACTTTGAGCCAGCCTCCCTCACGGCAGCAGTTGCCTACTTTGATCCAACCTCCCTCATAGCAGCAGTTGCCTACTTTGATCCATGGACCCATCCACTCTCGCAGGTGCAGCAGCAGCCTCCATTGCCTGATCAGGAGCTTGGTGATGAGGCACCAATGGAGGAGGATGCGGATGAGTTGGTTGAAGAGCGTAACTTAGAAGCTGAGCTTGCTGCTGAGTATGATCAACTTGATCCTGAGTTGGATGCTGCACTTGAGGAGGAGCTATCTCATGCTGTCCAAAAGACAGGACGTGGCATGGATAAGGGGGATGAAGCACTAGCGGATCCAAGTCAGAGAAAACTACTCAAAATAAATCAGCGTGGGTCATTTAGCAATGAGAGATTTGGCAGGACAGCAATAGTTATATGGAAGTTTTTATATGATGAACCTGTGCTTTTCTTGACTAATTGGCCAGAGGAAAAGAAGAGGCTTGCATGGGAGATGTTCCAGGTATGAAAATAAGAATCAAATATTAATAGATTTTGATTATTGGGATGTTGATACTAAGAATTTGGTGTTGGTGATCATTATATGGGATGCGTTTGATAATTTAAATGTTTTTTTCTTTATGGTTAACAGGGGGAAAAATGATAGTTTAGGTGAAATCTGCCCTTTTTAATATATATATATATATATAATCAAGTTATACATTATCTAATTATATATGGATGGGTTTAAAATAGTTGAGATCTTGATTATTGTGATGTTGCTGCTTGGAATTTGGTATGAGTGATCATGCTGTTGGAATGTGTTTGATATATTGAATGTTTGTTTTCTTTATGATTAACAGGGAGAAAGTTGATATTTTAGGGGAAACTCTATCCCTTTTTTTTAGAAAATCAAAAATATTAAAATTAATTTACATTGGTTGCAAATTAGACAACTTCTGCTATTTCTAACCAAAACATACGCTCCCTGCATACTGTGATGTTTGCCGCAGCTAGCTCCTTGTCCTTTTCAGTTTTGCCCTTCTAAACTGTGGTTTTCCATACTAGGAAACCCCAAGAACAATAAATCCTCCTCAAAGTCCAAAATTTTAGCTTTTGGAGGCTAATCAACCCTGCTCAAGTTTTAAACATCTAGGTATCTAGGTCTAGGGAGAATCAGCAGTCCTTTTTTCTCTATACTTTGCAGCCCTTAATTGATTCTTAATATTTTTCCATTTTGCACTCTGTGCTATGTGGTTTTACGTTTGTTTTACTCTTCATTCCTTTTAGAAAAAGAATGTGTGTTAGACTAAGTATGTTTCTAGCCTTGTTGGTAAGCACCTAGCCGACAAAAAAAAAAGGGGGGGGTTGTAGAGATAGACTCAGTACACGATCAGTTTCTTCTTTCTAAAGAAGGGTTCTAAATATGTTAGCATGACTTAGTGGGTACAATTAGACAAAGTTCTATTTTTTGAATTAATGGAAGTCATAAGTCATGTTACAGAATGATGGCAACACAAAACAAAGTTGAAAAAAAAAAAAGAAGAGTTAAAAATAAATGTGTACTTTTGAATTAAGGTATGTTGAGTAAAATTTCTCAAATGAGAAGAAAATTGCATTTCTCTTAGGTCCTGATTGGTGGGAAGGAAAATTCTAGAAGAACAATAATTTGTACCATAAATAAACAGTGGAATTTGTTTTTTGAATGTTAATTGTGGAGCTCTGTGTTGTAGGGATTCATACTTTGGCATTTCTATTTTGGACAAATTATGTTTAAATTTGCTGTGATGAGGCAATAGAGTTTGGGACTTGTTTAACTTGAAATTTGGAATATTTCATCACTTAAATGCCCCTTAGGCTTTTAAAAGTTTCTTTTTTAATTGGAAATTATGCCTAGTGTTTAAGGTTGGTGCTTTTTTTACATTATGTACGTCCTATTATCATCACGTCCTATTAAGTTTGTTTTCTGTGGGTTTGGCTGGTTTTAGCATCATCTTTAATTTCTTC